AGTTGGAGTATAGCAGCCGTCGCGGTAAGAAGATCCGGACGTGTGTGCGATTGTGTAATTGGGAGCGCGTGATACAGTGATACATAGCTCCCCTACTGTCAACGTGTATACTACTGAAGACAGAGTGAACTGATTTGCGCATAGGGTTAGAAATCGTGAAACCCCGCAACAGTGTTAACAGATTAATGCGATTAGGGTTATAAGGTGTGAAACCCCGCAACTGTGAGATAATTAATTGTAGCCGTTATTTGTAGATTGTTAAATAAACCAATTAACCATCTCTACGGCGTCTTCAGTAACGCAAACACGTTACAATATTTTTCCTTTTATTTTATGGTCTTATGGTCTGATATTTTCTACTTTTTTGTGAATTATGTCATCCTATCAAGTACAGTGAAACCCTAATTTATGATTTTTTGGTAGGGTGCAAGGAGGGCGGGCAGTGGATCTGAACATTGTAATGAGGAAGATCTTAAACAGAAGTAAAAGAAGAATGAGTTTATTGTCTTGGGATCATTGAAACTGAACATTAAATTAAGGAATATCTTAAACTGAGGAACATTAAATTGGGGTTCCACTGAATCTAGTATTGCTTTACGAGTGCATCTGCTTGAGGCAGTTGAAGTATGTACTTTAGTCTTATCATTTCTCGTGTTTTGAAATAGATGTTTTATTGTGCAGGAAGCCGAGAGCATTATTTATGTGATACTGAGGTAAACTTGTGCTATTCAAATCCATGTGGGAACCAAGGCACATGTCAGAGGAAGGAAGGAGGCTACACATGTGTGTGCAGACCTGGCTTTACAGGTAAGCAAATATTAATTTAATTCGTAATGATCAAGCTAATTGGTTTGTTTCTTTTTAATTTTAATCTTATTATATTTTCATATTTTAGCATGTATCGCCGTTGCTATGCAATGAGTGTGAGTTGAGCTGATATACCAGACCCATTTCTGGGCAGTGGTTCCGTAAACACATTCCTGTGGCAACTGATATGCATTTAACAATGGAAAAGGGGTGTTTCTGTGTGGTCCACAGTGAGCTGTTAGAAGCAAGGGACAGAGGCAGTTGAGTTCAGTTGTGAGTTGCTGGCCACCCAGAAATGTCATGAGTGCATGAAGCTGAAGAATCTCCACTGTCAGAAGCCATTGCCAGGGAATGGCTGGTGTAGACACAGCAGGCTGGAAAAGAGTTAGTGGGCGCTTTGGTGATTTGTGAATTGTGGAGATTGTTGGTGGTGCTGTAATTGCTTGTTGTTCCAAGTCAGGCATATAAATTGGTCATTGAATCTATTCACCAATCCAAACCCTGTCTATAGTCACACATACTATGTGACAATGTATATATTTGGAGAAATGTCAACTTAAGATTAAATGCATTTACATATAAGCATATTTTATGAATAATTTGAGGAACAGGTTGGCCTGGAGGTAGTGCTTTAGATTTGGCTAGGACACCACCTATTCTGACTCAGGTTTTAATGATCTTCTTCAGTCCTTCTGAAGCTAATACTTTGATTAGTCCACATCTTCTTTGTTCTGCATCCTTTCCAATTTGTCATGCATCAGTCATCTTACCATCTTACAGTATATAGTCTACATACCAAAAGCAATCAGTGGCTTCTACTCACTCTACCTTCTCTTCCTTAGCCTCATGACTGCCTTTCTTGTAACATTTCTATATAGCCGAGGCAATTCATAGCACTACACAATCCATCACTGAAGATGGAGGCAACATGTTCATCTTAGACATCATTTTCTGCCTACAGCTCAACATTGCTATCATCACAACCCAGAATACCACAGTCCGAATGCTGACAAATTATAGTTTAGATGAACTGTAATAACATAACTGGTCTAACCTTTTTTGTTACTACTGACGGTAACAGAAGCTGGGGTATGTGTACCAGAGATATCCTTTAAGAATGAGCATTCGAGTTCAGCATTTGAAAAATTAGTTTCTTACATGTTTGGAAGACTGGAAACTGTTAAACTCTTCATAATACCATCATGAGAACCTCAAATTCCAACATATTTCATCCAAGTTTATAGATGAACTGGTGGTTATGGGAGGTGAAAGTTGGTGACACACATCGTATAGGGAGGGGAGACAGCAGAAGCAGCTACAATGATGATCGGGTGAATGGTGAAGATACATTGCAGTAGGGAGCATGAAAGTTGTGCTGGTTTATTTAATAGACAGTTGAATGTGGTCTTTCTTTTTGCAGGGCAGAACTGTGAGATAGACTTGAGTCTGGACACTTGCCAGCCTGGAATATGCCGTTCTCACTCCTCGTGCTCACCCTTGGTAAAGGGAGGATTTCTGTGTGAGAACTGCTCTCCTAGTGGAGGTTCTGAACACTATACAAAACTCTGTGAGCTTCGAAGCAGGAGTTTCTCCAAGGCTTCGTTTTTAACGTTCCCTTCATTAAGACAGCGTCATCGCTTACACATCCAACTCAGGTATCACAGTAATCATTAGTTATAAATCACTGCCATGCATAGTATGTCTTATAGGAATTTACATGGCATCTTTCCATATCATTGAATTTCAGAGGATTAAGTATTGATTTTGGAACAACAAAAAGTGGAAGTGAATATTGTCTATATGCAGTGCACTAAGTCTCTGTTTTTTAAATTGAAGTGGGTATTATTAAACAGTATATCTCTTTAGATAATATTTATAACATGCTCTTTCCCAAATTAATATTGTTAACATTTTTGTAAACCTCTCGGAACTGTGTTGTTTTTAGCTTTTTTTCATGGGATAGTATAAAATCTGTAAAATGTAAGGTAAAGTAGTCACTGTGCTTAATTAATTAAGCACTATGCCATAAAGATGTATGGGGGAGTGGATGTAGAGATCCACATTTTCTTGACCTTGGCACTAGTTGGAGGTGAGTGGTCAGCTTCATGCCCCTGCCACTTTGCCCCCGGGGAAAGAGCCCCCAGTACCCATTGGATAGGAGGATGAGTGGACCCCAGAGCCCATCTGGACAACGTGGAGAAGAGAAAAATCTTGACCCTACTGGGACTCAAATTCCGACCCCTTGGTTGTCCAGCCTGTAGCCAGTTGCTATACTGACTACAATATCCCAGCTCCTGTAAAATCTGTTATTGGTGGTATTTTTATTTTGTTACACAGTCATTATTTTTGGGACACGCGGTAGTGTAGTTGGTTGAGGCACTATGCTACAAGCGGGAAGGTCACGGAATCAAATCCTGATGAGGTGGATTTTTTCAATTGACCTAATCCTTCCAGTCACACTATGGCCCTGGGGTCAACTCAGCCTCTAACAAAAATGAGTACTGGGAATATTCCTGGGAGTAAAGGGCGGCTGGCATGTAAGGCTGACAACCTTACTGCCATCTATGAGCTGATTGTCTAGAAGATATGGGAGCCTGAACTTCTCACAACCCTATGGGCCTCCGAGGCCTGTTAAGGGGATAGGATACCTTTACTTTACTTTTTTACTTTTACGTTCATTATTTTATGACAAACTGGGATATGTCCTGCTGTCTCATGAAATCCATTTCAGCTGATAATTTCTTTCATTCTTTATGGTCTCCCTTTACTGCCATATGACACTTCACTTGCTTTATATATTCATATTCCTGATTTTTTTAGACTATGGTTGATTTGAAAATCTGATATATATGATGCACTCAGTTTTCGTGTAATTGATAGTTCTACATTTAGATCTTTTTTTCTTTCATTCCTTGACAGAAGTAGTTAGATCACATTGTTCTGCAGTGTGGGACTGTGAAGTTTAATAGATATGTACCAGCATTTCATAGGAATCTCATTCCTCCTATCCTGAAGAAGGAGGCAGCAGTGTGCTCTGAAACCTTTGCATCCATCTACCAAACTGCATAGTGCCATGTCTGAGGAGACTGTAATCTTAATAAGTATTAACTTGTTTGCATATCTTATTTTTAATTCAAATTTTACTTACGTTTGTTTCTTGCTTAATGTTGTACTGTAGTTGTTTTTCTTTTTTTGAATTTATTGATTATTCTGAAGCAGTTTCTTTTTACTCTGTGCACTGAGTATGGAAAATCATTTCCACCTTCATCATACATATTTGATCTTCAAAATCGATGTATAGTGTTGATGAATGATAGATATATCATCTTGGAATGTTCTCAGTGTCTTTGTGATTTTATTCACGAACCTAATTAAGAGTAAATTCTTCCTTTCCACATACAGGTAATCTGTTGCTGTTAATCATTATTGGCTGTTGTTTACAACAAAGATAAATTCAAATTAAATTCTGATGTCTATAACATGAATACTAGACAAAAATATAACTTCCACCTACCCTCATCAACTTTATCAGTATATCAAAAAGGAGTCTACTTTACTGGCATAAAAGTGTTCAACAATCTGCCACAAAGTATTAAAAACTTGGGCAATGATACTAAAAAGTTTAAATCAGAGTTAAAGAATTATCTACATGTTCATTCCTTCTACTCTTTAGATGAATACTTCAATGTAAATAGAGAATGATGTAAAATTAAGTTATATTAATTTTTAAGCTAAAATTGCCTGTACTTATGTATGTAACCTTTTGACTTGTTCTGTATCCAAAGGTACTAACCTGCTTAGGATTTATAGAATGTAAATAAATTCAATTCAGTTCAATTACTTTTACCATAATGCTGCAAGGGCATAGTCCAGCTGATTGGGTGTTGCTTTTTTTTCAACATGAATACTTTGATTTAAAATCCCCTGTTCCTGTGTAATAATTGTTGAAAATTTCTGGATCATCACTTATTGACATTTGGCTGTTATTATTTGGACATGTTATATTTTGTAGGAATTTTAGTTTATTGGTTTATTTTGACTTTATCAAATGTGGTTTCATAGTCAATTATGTATTTTATATATTGAGATAATGGGGGCACATGGTAGCATAGTTGGTTGAGGCACTATGCTAGAAGCCGGAAGGTCACAGGTTCAAATCCTGATGAGGTAGATTTTTTCAGTTGACGTCCTTCCAGCTGCACTATCACCCGGGGTTCGACTCAACCTCTAACAGAAATAAGTACCAGGAATTTTCCTGGGGGTAAAGGGTGGCCGGTGCGTAAGGCTGACATCCTTACCTCCCTCTGAGAGCCGATTGGCTAGAAAATGTGGCATTGAGATAACAATAGTTTTTATTGTGATGATTCGTGATAGTAAGTCAACATATGTTGCTAATGAATAGTAATAATGCATTGGAAATGTGGTGCCTTATTTATATAGGATTAGAAGCTTTCTTGGTGAATAAATGCACTAAAATTTTGAGGAATCAGTAATGCCATGGTTAAGGTAAAGACTGATGTTTCAGAGATCAATATGAGGATTGACCTTAAGTTGCTGATCCCAATGAAATGTTGGTTTTTTAAGCCCGGTCAGGAAGTGAGTGATTGCCTATTAAGATTTTGGTGCAAGGATCAAATCTTCTGCGATGTGATGCCATGTAGTCTGTCAGAAGTTTACTGATGTTTGAGAAGAATGTACTGCCTCCATCTTTAGGGTCTTAGAATGGGCTGAGCAAGCAAGCAGCAAACAGACAACTCTGTGGCATCATATCTCGGAAAATAATGCTCCTCATAGTCACTGCCATGAGGACCTCAAACCTCACATATAATATATGGTCCTCTAGCAGGAGTCGTTTATGTTCAGTATAGTTACAAAATATAATTAATTTCCATTAGAAAATTCTCAACTTTGTATGGAACCTGAAGGTTCATTATCATGTTCAGAAGAACATGCCACTGGTCCCTGTCCTAAGCCAGATGCTTCCTGTCCTCACCCTCACATCCTCTTTCTTTGAGATCAATTTTAATTTTATTCTCCCACCTAGGGAGCCGGGATGGTGTAGACGGTATGGTGACTGGCTACAGGCTGGATGACCAAGGGGTCGGAGTTCGAGTCTCAGTAGGATCAAAATTTTCTCTTCTCCAAGCCATCCAGACTGGTTCTGGGGTCCACCCAACCTCCTATCCAAAAGGTACTGGGGGCTCTTTCACAGAGGTAAAGTGGCCAGGGTGTGAAGCTGACCACTCACCATCAGCTAGTGCTGAGTTCAAGAAAATGTGGATCTATACATCTACTCCCCCATATGCCTTCATGGTGTAGTGCTTAATTAGTTAAGCCCAGGGACAACTTTACCTTTACCTTATCTCCTGTCTTTGAATAGGTCTTTCAGAGGGTCTCTTTCCTTCAGGTTTTCCCACCAGAGCTTCATATGTGCTTCTCCCCCATGTGTGCTGCATGCAGTGCCAATCTCACACACCGTGATATGGTCATTCTAATAATATTCGGCAAAGAATGCAAGAATTGTGTTTATTTTTAAATGTGTTGTAATATTTACCATGTACCTAATTTTATATTTAAAATAAATGTATTAAACTGTTTTAGGTTTGCAACCCAGTCTGACTCTGGATTGCTTATTTACAATGGCCGTTACAATGAGAAACATGACTTCATTGCTCTTGAAATTGTTGATGGTGCAATACACTTCTCATTTTCCCTCGGATCCAATGTCACCACTACGGTGGCATCACTGCCTGGTCGAGTGAGTGATGGGAGCTGGCATTCCATAACTGTGCATTATTTCAATAAGGTAAAGAAAATATATTTCTCGCTGTTGTAGAAAAAAAATGTAAAATATGTTGCTACTTTGACTACCAAATTTCTTTTTTAATTACAAGTTTTCTGACTGGTATTAAACTTATGATTTTGATTATTAGGGCTCAGGTCACTAAAATATCTTAGGCTATCAGCTGTGATTGTTGGTTAAGAATTGTTCATTTTAGGGACCATCTTTGTCCCCATCATGAAAAACACATCACATCCTAATGCTGGGGACGAGTGTTCCCTGAAATTTCTGCCATATTTTAACTGACTTACATGACTGATAGTTTCAGAAGATTTTATTAATATCAGATGCCATGAAAGCTTCATACATTACATCAGGCCCCATCTAATGCAGTCTTCTGCTCGTCCATGATGAGTGAAAAATCAGACCTATGGGTGGAAGAGTCTGAATTTATTTGTTACTGTTCTCTCCCAGTTGTGAATTTTATTTCTCTACAGATGCTAAACCGTAAATTATGTCTTGTATAAACAGGGGGGCTACCAAGATTTTTTTTTGGGGGGGGGGGAGGCGATCCAGAAAATTAGCTTACAAATGTATGTTTAAAAAGACTTAATTTTTGTGTTTGTATTTAGTATATTCCTTTTTTTCAGCTTTGATTTTTTTTCCCAAAAAATCAAAGGGGACACAGTCACTCCCAATGAAAAGTCCCTGGCAGTGCCCAGGTATTCTGCATTGATTTACCTTTGATTTATATATTTGAATTTGCTTCATTTCAGAGTGCGACTGTAAGTATTGATGACTGTGATACAGCACTGGCAACAAAGTATGGATCCAAGCTTGGTCCTCAGTGGTCATGTGCCAATACGAGTATGCAGATTCTTGAGAACAGGTATGCAGATGGTATATGCAGCGTGTCCACAAAACATGTGGTAATGAAACAAAAACAAATGGTGACTACACAGGATTTATATTAGTGGATTCTGTTGAAAACATATTTGAGGATGCGTCATTAGTAGCAATATTATGTAGGTCATCCAAAAAGTAAAGACTGTTTGTGCATAGCATAGCACAAGTAGTGTTGAAGAAGTGAAGAAGATGGTTAAAGACAGGTTCACTGTACTGGCAGCAGATTGGTCTGTATAGTTCACTTGTGGACTAAGAGTCATGGAGTTTGGGAATAATGATGTAAAGCCAAACACAGTGGGCACTTGGTCCAAGGCATGAACTGTCCCCACCTGCTGCAACACTCTGATCATGGGTTCGAATCCCACTCAAAGCATGGATGTCTTTGTGCATTTATTTTGTGTTTTTGTTGTTCTGTGTGTAGGTAGAGGCTTTATGGCAGGCTGATCCACTGTCTGAGGAGTGCCACTGACTGTGTATAGATTGAGAAACTCCTCTCCTTTTCCAGTGAAGCTACTACAGTCTGATGTAGGCCTTGATCTCCTTAGTGATGCTTCTCCAGTGGTTCCTGTCCGGCACTTTCGCCTTTCATCTGGAAATCTTGCTTTACAGTATCTAGCTACCTTGTTCTTGGTCTCCCATATTTTGCTACTGCCCTCTGGTTTTCAAGGGGGGGCACACAGTAGCGTAGTTGGTTGAGGCACTATGCTACAAGCCTGAAAGTCGCAGGTTCAAGTCCTGATGAGGTGATTATATTTTTCAGTTGACCTAATCCCTTCCAGCCACACTATGGCTCTATGGTCGACTCAGCCTCTAACAGAAATGAGTACCAGGAATCTTCCTGGGGGTTAAGGCCGGTGCATAAGGCTGACAGCCATACTGCCATCTACGAGCTGATTGTCTAGATTATGTATGGAACCTTTAATGTCTCACAACCATATGGGCCTCCATGGCCTCTGGTTTGGAAAAGATTAATTTTCTGCAAGCATAAATTTAATTTGTTCTGAAGAGGTGTCCCTGCATTCACTGCCTTAACTACCAATGCCTGTGTGCAAGTTATATGTCCTTACGGCCACCAGCCAGCCGACCCATTTGTGAGCTGGGTTTCTGTCAAGTGCAGTGTGATGTAATGTATGTAATGGAATGTAATTAGATCCAAATGTAACCATAATAAATGTAGTTTAAGATGTGTAATACATGAATTGTAACTTCTATAAAAATCAGTAACACCTGCAGTCAGTGTTTGCATGCAAGACGAGCAGTTGGTGCTCCAAGCAGCTTGGTGTAGAATTCCCATCAAGATCATCACAATTACATTTCCATTTTATATAGCACTATGCTACAAGGCAGAAGGTCACAGGTTAAATTCCTGATGAGGTGATTGGATTTCTCAGTTGGCCTAAGCCTTCCTGTGGCTCCAGGGTTGACTCAGCCTCTAACAGAAATAAGTACCAGGAATCTTCCTGGGGGTAAGGGGTAGCCAGCATGTAAGGCTGACAACCTCACCACCATCTATGAGCCAGTTGTCTAGAGAAAATGTGGGAGCCTCGATGTCACACAACCCTTTGGGCCTCCACGGCCTGTTACAGGGATAGCTTTACTTAGTCTCACCGGTATCAGTGAGCTGACTGTCTAGAAAATGTGGGAGCCTTGATATAATGCTGTGGGCCTCCACAGCCTGTTAAAGGGATAGCTTTATCTTTTCTTTACCTCTTATGTGTAGAGGGATTATATCTGACCCATTCTGCAACTGACATAATTCAATGAATATAGTGCTTTTGCATTAGGAGGACAATAAACTTTCTATCAAAGATTTTTATTTCACCTATGACCATATTCCATCACGCACTGCCATTTGTGCAGACAGGTCACAGAATCATTTTATATGATCTTAACACTTGACTGTCCAAGAATGCTGGTGCTCCTTTAGACTTGTAATCAGGAAGTGCTTGGTTTGATTCTCACTTAGGACACTGGCTGTTGTGATTGAAGTTTATCATGTTTTTCTTCTCAGCCCCTTCAGGAAAATACTATGAACTTACCTTGAAGTGATCTGTCTTCTGGCGTATAATGCCATGTATGCTACACGGTGTTATATTCCATAAGACAGAACTCTTCATGGCCACTGCTGTGAGAACCTCAAGTCCTGCAGAATATTGCTATGGTTAGGCAGCAAATGCTTACAATGTTCATAGCCTGCAACATATGTGTGCTTCTGGCTTTGACTGGGTTTATTGGTGCAGTGAGTCATCCACACTTTTTTGGTCTTCTGAGAATATATATCCTTGTGGTTTCAGATGCGCAGTATTCACCGAGACCTGCCACAGATTCTTGGATCTCACAGGGCCATTACAGATTGGGGGCCTGCCCTCCTTACCTACCAATTTCCAGGTCCATACTAAAGATTTTGTGGGCTGCATCAGTGACCTTTATATAGATTACAGGTTCATTGATCTGAACAGGTAATGACAGGAAACAACCTTTGCAACAATGTTTGCTTAAGATGGTCCCCAAACTCTCTTTGTATGAGGCTTCATGAATAAATCATTGGCTGCCCTGCACAAACTACAGAAATATTTAAAATGTAATGTAGCAATTTAAAAACATTAATTACTCATGAGCTTTAATTATAACTACAAAGTAATTTTTCTCTAAAATTATGTTTGTAATGTAATGTGACTTTAGCGTATCGATTTATATGTACTGGACAATTATCATTTTCTTGCAAGTGACTGTACTGTGATAATAACTAGTGCTATGAATTACACTGGTGCACAACTCAACACAAATGGAGAAAGAATTTAGTTAGATTAACTCTTCTCTGGCATATGTAGCATCACTGTGAAAATGAATGAGTGTTGTCACATGTAGGCGTGACAGTTTTGGATTGGAAGATTGGATTATTTCACCTTATACATTCACACCTTGGGACTACAGGCAATTACAGCACTATCGCTATTCTACATGCTTTCAGTTCACTTTTGCACTCGGACTAGGATTCTCCGTCTTCATGAGTCGTATCCAGGCAGTGGATTTATCACAGTCTCACTGTCACTTCAGCTCACACATGAAGTCTTCTTGGCACAGTCTGATTCCTTCTTGCCATTTCTTCTCAATCACCTTTGACCGCCACCTCCAGAACTTAACCCGATTCTCTTTCTAGCTGTGTGAGATCCTTGTTATATTGCCTCCGGGCAGACCCCATGGAAAACGCCATCTTCTATTGTTAAAGAGCATGTTTACACATCTGTTGCCTAGCAGTAGATATCCTGTTGCGGGAATGTGTTTACTGACCCATTACTAATACAGAGGGGTCAAAAACAATGCACTCACTCTCAGATAGTCAGTACCTTTGGAACAAAATGACATGTAGTTACAGTTCTTGCGCATACAGAGACAGAGTCGTATGTGTTCGAAGTGACCCCCATCAGCGGCTAAACAGCGTCGATGCTGCCGAACTGCTGAGCGAACCACAGCTGTCAGTGTGTCCGATGTGATGGCTGCACATGACACTTTGATGGTTTCTCATAGCGCCTTCAGTGTAGCTGGCTATTGTCGGTAAACTTCATCCTTCAAGGTTCCCCATAGGTAGAAGTTGAGAGGTGTTAGGTCTGGAGACCGTGGTGGGTACTCAATAGCACCTCTTCGACCTATCCATCATCCAGGTAGTGTGATCCAAGTACGCCCTGACATCTCAATGGTAGTGAGGTGGAGCACCATCCTGTTGTAGGTAAAATCTCTAATCTCCAAACAGCTCTCAAATGGGAGGGAAATTCGATGTCTGAAGCATATCAAGATACACCTGACCAGTTACGGTACCTTCAAAGAAGAAAGGACCAATCAAACTGTGCGATGACAGACCACACTACACATTAACACCCAGGAGATTCACTTCCTTGCCCACATGAACGTGTGGATTTACAGGAGCCCAATACACACAGTTGTGGCGGTTAACAGTACCGTTCATTTTTAATTGTGCCTCGTCCAATACCACTTCAATACAGCCTTACATTGCTCAAAGAACAACCTTTCAGCCATTGTTGCTGCTGTCTTCTGCTTGCAGTGCGCATGCGGCATGACACTCACGTGACTCATGTGACCTTCGCCATCTGTTGAGAAAACATTACACTACACTATCGCACAAGAACTGTAACTACATGTCATTCTGTTCCAAAGATATTCACTATCAAAGAGTGGGTACATTTTTTGGACTCCTCTGTATCTGAAAGTGTTTACTTCATTTTGAATTATGCTGTATGTTATGTTGTTGATTGACTCTGAATGCAGAATGCAGTGTTCTCCGACAGAGTGTAATGTTCGCAATCTATTTCTATGGATAACTGGAGGAAGTTCTGATTCTTCTGTAGCCATCAGTGGGGCATGCTTAGTATAGTGTTTGGTGATATGAGACTTGCATTGCAATTGAAGTAACATTTTGCAAATAAAATATCTGCTAGATCAGAAAAATTGAAATGGAAGTAATTCAAATTAGATGTGAAGGTAAATGTTTTGAAAGCAAGGGAACAACTTGGAAGTCCAAATTAAGGTCGGCATATTTTCTTCCATTGTTAAAGTCTTTGAAGAGAACTGTGAAATTCTACCTGTTGTGCTTTAAAGATTACTTTGTCAAACAAATGGTTCTTTCCTTCAGTTGTATAGTAGTTGCCATGTCTATACTGAGTGCCCTCGGTATTAGGAAGAACGTTTATGGGGCATACTTTCCTATAAGTCCTTGTGGTTATGGTCATCCTGTCAAGAACTATAAATTACTGCTTTTTTACATTCAACAAGAAAATTGTCTGAACAGAAGTTGCTTTTCCTTCTAAAAGATCTGTTTCCACACAGAATTTTATTCACACCTCTGAAGTTTGCATGACCTCTGTGTTGGTATTATTGCTGGTAGAAATTAGAAATTATGAAAGTGAGATGCCCTTGTTATGGCATGATGTACGTATGGATTTTCTTGAAACTCTTTGCCACTTGCTTCAGCAGTTGTTGGGGAAACAGTCACATGGGGTGAACCACACGTAAAATTTTACTTTTTTTTTTCTGTTTTCCATCTTCTCTTTAATGTCAAGAGCAGCTCTGGGCCCACCCAGCCTCCTAGACAGTGGGTAGGGGGCTGTTTCCTGTGGGGGTAGTGTGGCAGGGACATGAACCTGAGCACTCACCACCATCTAGTGCCGAGGTCAAGACTAGTACAGTAATACTTCTACTTCCCCATACATCTTCATGGTTTGGTGTGAAACATGGGGATATTAAAAATGGTTATTTTTAATAAATGTGTGTACTCATGCTTCACAAAGAAATATACTGGCATGTGTGTGTATGCAAAAAACTTCTGTAAGGCCCAAGTTTATCCCTGTCACTACCCAATTTTGGGTTAGTATAGCAATGAGTTGTCAATTGTTAACATGTCACAGATACATAAGTTATGTAATAGGTCATGAGCGAGCAATAGTCTTTTGTTTCACTGCCTGTTCTGTGAGTACTGATATTAATATTTTGATATGGATGTACGAAGTGTAGTGTACTATGTAAAAGAGACAGTGCACCATTGAGTATTTGTATGTGTTATTTGTGGGTGATGGCATTAAACAGCCACATTGACAGATCATTTGATATCATGGAGGACTGGAGAGGAATATGGGAGAAACCATGGGAAATTAATATTTTGAAGGTATATACAGGGTGAAAGGTATCCAAAATAAAATAATTATATCGTAGAAAATATTTATTATACACATTTATGGGTTACACCATTACAAAGAGTTTTTCTGATTATATAATTTTCTCAATAAATTTCACTGTGGGCCCCCTTGGTGGCATGACAATTAACCAGATGATATATGACCTAGTTTCGCATTGCTTGAAGAATGTTTGGTGTTACCATAGCCAAGGCATCCCTTATGTGGGCTTTCAGGTGTTGAAGGTTGTTGATCTTAACTTGGTAGGCAGTGTTCTTCACATAACCCCACAAGAAAAATCCAGCGGGGTTAAATCTAGCGACCTAGGAGGCCAACCGATTGGTCCACTTCTGCCAATATATCTCCCAGCCATCTCTCTGTTCAGATGATTCCTAACATGGTGGCAGAAATGTGGCGGTGCATGCATGTAACCTGGGCATGAAAAAGAAAACTTTGTGAGTTTTGCTTTCCGATGACATAAACCAGATACATGTATGACAGTTAGTTTCTGAGATATAAATTTTTTATTTTGGATACCTTTCATTTGGACACTCTGTATAAGGAACAGTGAGACTTCCTGTTTTATTCTCATTGGTGTTACACTAGTGTCTTGTAACAGAGAATTATATGCTAATAAGACTAAAAAACATTGAGCATTTCCTGTCTGTTTACATTGTAATTTGACTCCATTGTCATGACTGAAGTCATCACTGTCAGCATTAATTTAATCAAACATATACAATTATGTTTGTAGTTTAAAGAAATTTAGAACCTTTCTTCATGAAATTTCTTTTGTAAACTATGGAGTCCTTGCAGTAATAGAAAATTTCTTTTGGGCAGTTATGTTGCTGATAACGGAACTGTGGCAGGTTGCCCCGAGAAGAAGGCTTTTTGTTTGTCTAACCCCTGCACTCATGGCTCAAAGTGTACAGAAGGCTGGGGAACCTACCTTTGTGAATGTTTGGAGGGCTGGAGTGACAAAGATTGTAGCCAAGGTAAGTTCACATGTTTAGAAAGTTAATCATAAAATTGTGAATGTGAGCGGCTATTGGGGTTACTGTCTTCTGGACTGTGATGCTGTATAGTCTGGTAGATCATTACTGATGTTATATAGGAATATACTGCAGCATGAGGGTAGATGGAAGTAGTATATTTTTCAGACACAGCAGTAAGAATATACCAGACTGTAGCATGTCATCCCTGAAGACACCACAAAATTCTGCAGAATGATGCGCACGTGAGACAAAGTAGCAAATCAAGTGTACAATGCATTGTGGTAATCGTGTACACTGTTCCAACACCATAGCAGAAGAGGTGGGACTCGCTGTGTGAGACCTCCCAGATCTTTGCTTGTGCACATCATGCACTGTACCACCAGCCTCATATTTTTCACAAACACATGCAGTTGTTAGTCATGTTGGAGGTTCTGTTGCAAATTCATTCTGCCGCTGTCTTTATACTTGTACTTTACATTTTCAAATTTCGAGTACCATTTCAAAATTATTTTGCCTTGCTCAAATGACAACTGTTCTGCCTACTTTTTTTTTTACTGTCCTGCCGTTCAATAAGGTGGCTCTGACATTCATGTGGCTAGCACCATCTTTTGCAAGAATATCACACTATACACCATAAGTTACATTTTGGTTCAACTTTGAAAATGTCTGTAGATAACCTCTGTTAAAGTGTGTATACATTTTATTTCCTCTCCCCC